AAAGTGGAGAGGGATTAGAACAGTCAGTTTCTATTGTTGTCTGTGCCCCTGTTAGGGAGATTACATAGCTACATAGTTAGTCTGGCTGAAAAAAGACAAAAGTTCAACTAAAAAAAAGAAAAATAAGTTATAATCCTATCCTTACTATTGACCCAGAGGAAGGCAAAAAACCAAGCAAAGCATGATTCAATTTGCTCCTGCAGGGGAAAAAAATCCTTCCTCATTCCTCGAGAGGCAATTGGATATTCCCTGAATCAACTTTACCTAAAAATGTTAGTATTCAGTTATATTCTGTGTATCTAGCAAAAAATCCAGGCCTTTTTTAAAGCAATCCACTGAGCTGGCCAAAACCAATTCTCTCTCTCTAGTTGTCCTGTTTACCATTATCATGTATAGTGAAAGTAAAAGAAAATCCCAAATTTTGGGTTGTCCCCAGGAAAATAATAGAGAGGAAATCTTCCAATGAGGACACTAGTTTTGGTGACCTAGGGAGCCCAAAGGAATTTCCTCTCTGTTCCTGTTTTGGCCGATTGAAGAATTGGCTCAGGATGAGGACACCTGGATCGCTGGACAGGTAAGTGCTCTAATATTAAAAGTCAGCAGCTACAGTATTTGACTTTAAATTTTTTGTAGGGGGGGCCAAACTCTGCTTTAAATATTCAAAATGAAATAAATAGCGTTTTCAGTTTGTGATGCTCAGATGCAGTTGACTTCCACTTTAAGCCTGGGTTCACACTGATGCAGTGCAGAATTCTCACCTGTTTATGTGTGATTTCCTCACCGTATCAGTGTGAACCCAAGCTAAGTCTTTTTTTGCAGTGATTTTAACTTCCATCTTGCCTGGATGTAACTAGTCCAAGCAAATGTGGGACACTTTGATGTTTCTACACTCCATTTCAGCCAGGGACAATGGACACAGCAGATCCATTATTTCAGTAAGAACTATTGTTATCTGGTAATCTTACTGGGCTCTATCTCTCCCATGCTTCTAAATAAGATCTGACGGGGAGAAGTGGGTGAGAAGATGCTTCTGTCCATATAATATAATCATGTTCTTTTATTATTAAACATGACTGCAGGAAGAAAAGTAGATTGTGAATGGGATTGCCAAAAGCCATATCCTGTAGGTATTAGCAATTAAGACAATACAATAAAATTATTAAAATGAATAGAGGAAAAAAGCTTTCTTGGTGGAAGTCAGCCAAATCCTTGTTTAAAATTGTTTCCTATAGCTCTAACCTTGCTGACACATAGAATTATTATGGAAGTAACATTCATCAGAAACAGGAGTGTTATTAAACATTTTTATATCTAGATTATTTCAACTTCGAACATACTATCTGACACCGAGCTGACATTTCTACTGCAACAGTAAGAGAATACAAGTGAATAACAATGCACTGTTATAACAACTTAAAAGGTAACTCTACTAACTCTGGGGAAAAATATTGCAAATGAAAAAAAATAATATAAAATATACAAATGCAATGCATTATGGCAACATGGAGGTGTTCTGTACAGGGATGGTGTAGGGAAGCCCCCCCAGTAATGCCATTTCCTGCTTGCGTGATTGGATCAGTGCTTTTCCCAGTATTACACTATGGTGCAAATCAGATTATGGGCATCCACGCATCTTCTGCAACAATAATTCCATTTTTGGTGATATACTCCCAAAGGGATTCAGACCCTTCCATTTTCCTGATTAGACAGCTGTAAGTGCAGCAGCTGATTGATAATAATAATGTCACTCCCATATAGATTCACTCTGCACATGGGTACAGACAAACAAACAGCTATTTCTTCATAATAACAAAAGGAAGCAATCTGAAACAAAGTTTGCTAAAATCCCTGCAATGTACATACATCACCCAGAGGGGAATGTTTTTTTTTTCTCAACAAAAGTGGAGTTACTCTTTAATAGTAGAGCTTCAGATTATTGCAAATGCCAATTCCTGACTGATTTTTTAAAAAGACACTCATTTTTGGACAGATTGTACTATGCATCCTCCATGGTTGCAATGTTTGCTGGGTACACAGACCCCAAGGGAGATGGGGCCCATTTTGCTTTTACACACTGCACAACATGATTTGTGGTGCGGCATCAGGATTCTGATTAAACAGTTGTTCTGTGGTTGAGGTGCTGCAGCTGCTCCAGTAATTTACAGCTGCGGCAGTATAAAGAAGATGATTCAGCCGGTGTGCCTGACTGAGTGCACAAGGGAGCAGGTGCTGGTATTACACTGGACGTGGTGCTGATGTAGCATGGGGAGTGTGAAAGAAGCAGCTGTGACATGTAGTTGAAAGCAGTGACCAGCCTGCAATTTACGCAAATCGTGATACTGCTAAAGTGTACCATCTCTGAGCTGCCTGCATTTGCAAATTTTTGTTGCCAGCTGTCAGCCTGCAGTACATGCCACGTGTCCCTCCACCCACCGTTCATCCAGGAGAAGGGTGAGAAGAGCACTGACTGAATGAAGACCGGGTAACTTACTGAACAATATTGTGTTGTACATTCCCTTTTCCTCATCACCTCATTCTGTACACTGCACTGGACATTCACTATTCTGCACCAGCTCATTCTGTACGCTGTATTTAACCACTTTAAGCCACACTCAAAAATCAGCCATGGCATTTTTTTGCCATGGGATGCGTGTCACTTTTTATTCTCTTGAGCAACAAGGCCTAACTTATGATCTTCCATGCAGGCCTACTGTTTCCAGTGTGGCTTGTTTTGTGATTACCTAAAGATCAGGGTGTGTTGATAAAACTCAAAGTTCTACTTTAGCCACTTGCCCTCCAGAGGATTTACCCCCCTTCCTGAGCAAGTCATTTTTTTTTGCGCTACGGCGCTGCATTATTTTAACTGACAATTGCGCAGTCATGGAACGCTGCACCCAAATGAAATTTAGATCCTTTTTTTCCCACAAATAGAGCTTTCTTTCAGTGGTATTTGATCACCTCTGCGGATTTTATTTTTCGTGCTATAAAAAAAAAACTACAATTTTGAGAAAAAAAAAACAATATTTTTGACTTTTTGCTATTAACCACTTCCCATCTGGCCCATATACATAAACGGGTGGATGGGAGCAGTGCAGAAGTGGGTTGCCATTCATAAACAGCTCCTGCATTTTCAGCCTGTGCACACTCCCTGGGAGCGTGCGGCACCGCGATCTGGTGCCCGCTGTGTCCGAGAACACTGATCGCTGTACGGGACCTCTGTGTGAGGTCTAGATCATGTGATCACTGATTGGCCAATCAGTGATCACATGAGAAGTAGTAAGCAAGATGTCACTTCTGACATCATTGCTTACTACTTCTGAAATCTGAGAATAATCACATGGTACAAGGCTATTCACAACTTCTGACATCATTGCTTACTCCTTGTGAAATCAGTGAATGATCACAGAGGACACATGGTACAAGGCTATTCACAACAGCCTTGTACCATGTGACAAACTGTGACTAATCACAGCTCTTACAGTATTTCTCAATGGCTGCAAGAATGCAGTCAGAGAGAAGGAGAAATGATTGCTTTTATAGCCTTTATGAGTGTAAAAAAAAAAAAAAAAAAATCTTCATCACCCCCCATAAGTAGTACAGTGTCACTATGGTGACACTGTACTGCTAGGGTGACAGTATGTAAAAAAAAACAACAAACAAACAAACATAAATAATAATATAAAGAAAAAATAAAAATGTAAAAAAAAATGTTGAAAAATTATAATTTTTGGTTATAAACTATTTTGGGTTATTTTTTTTACTAAAAAGATAGCTGAATACATTTTGGCCAAGATTTATGAAGAAATATTATTTGCTAAATTTTATAAGAAAAACACTTTTTTCAAAATTTTTGGACTTTTTCATTGATATAGCAAAAAAAATAAAAATCCCAGTGGTGAATAAATACCACCAAAAAAAAGTTTTATCTATCTCCAAAAATTCAAAAAAAATTCATATGGGTAGTGTTGCATGACCGCGCAATTGTCATTCAAAGTGTGACAGCGCTGAAAGCTGAAAATTGGCCTGGACAGGAAGGGGGTAAAAGTGTCCAGACTTGAAGTGATTAAACATGTCCAGTAGAAAAATTAAAAAATCTAATTTCGTCATAAATTTACACCAAAATTTATTCTGCTACATGTCTTTGCTAAAAAAAAAATCCCAATACGTGTAAATTAATTGGTTTATGTGAAAGTTAGCATTTACAAATGGCGGTATATATACTGAGATTTTTTTTTCTTTTTTTAATTTTTACTAGCAACGGCGGTGATCAGCGACTTATAGCAGGACTGTGGTACTTCGGCGGGCATTCTGACACTGGGGGGAACTGACTTGGTGTCACTGACATCTCCAATTACACCAATACAATGATCAGTGAAAATAAAAAGCTTTGACACTGTACTAATGGCACTGGGCAGGAAGGGGTTAACATGTGGATTAACTGTGTGCTGTTTTACTAGGGGCTGTGTGCTAGTGCTTCACTGTAAGCACACTGCTTTGCACGAGGTGACAGGGAGGAGATCTGTTTTGTTTACTAACAGTTCTCCCCCCCCCCCCCCGTGGAGATGCTCAGCAAACACCGGGAGCCAGCAAGTAATCACTCGCCGGAACCCAGTGATTGACAGCAGTGACCGCCTCGAGCATGCCCCCTACCTAGAAATGCAAAATCACGTACATATATGTGATTTTGCGCACCTGTGCCACCCTAAAGCAGTATATCTGCTGCAGGGTGGAAGGGAACCAGTTAATACAGTGCTCTGACGACAGCTTTCCATGACAGCAGTCAGATCCTGCCAGGACAGTTGTTCAGCTTCTGTGGTCTATTGACAGCTTTGGGCCTAATTCACTCACTCAACACATGTTGCTCTTCCTACAAAACATTTTTGCCAAAAAGGCACTCATTCCAAGTGGTATTACCAGCATCATTGTGATTGTATTTAAATAAATCCTCAACACAGGCAATGTATACAAGTATTGTTCTAGCATATCAACTATTGCCATACCTGCACCTTAGTAGGGTTCATCCAGTGCTCTACAGAATCAGCTGTCATGTTGTCTGGTAGGATCACCGGGTCATTGGGTGGATAGACACAAGAAGCTGTGCAGTTTTCTCCTATGGGCAGAATACCCAGAAAGTTTTCATTACAATATGTTCAAGAAAGCAAAGCTGAAAATAAAATGACAAGCAAACAAGCATGATTCATATTTGCAAAGGCGTGCTATTCCCTTGTGTATTTTTTGGCAACAACAACTAGTTTGCCACCTATTTACTATGCTATTAAATGATGTAGGCACACATTGCTAACCATGAGTCAGTTCTAAAAAATCATCTATATAATAATTACTAGAAAGAATCTAAAAAATCTATAAAATATATGCCCTTTCAGAGTTTTCCTCACCAATCAAGTTTCCATTCTCACATGTGTAGTAGATGTCATTGATTTCTGGTGGTGGAGGGCACGTTCCAGTAAGTCCCTCACAAAGGCTCAATTTTTCTGTCCAGGTCCCATCTTTACTGCACACAGTAGTCACCTAAGGATAGATACCCATGTCAACAGGAAAACTGCAAAAACTGGAGCCCAGCAAACAAATCCACTGGAACCTATAGAGTCTAATCAAATATTTTCTTATATTTGGTAAGCAGGAGAAATTATTGCGATCTTCGATTTATTTCTTAAGCGCTATTTCTGCTGTCTAGTCTAAAAAAGGTCTTTTGCTTTGAATCTCTGACTTTTAAAAGCAAGTAACAATTAATTAAGCAAAATTGTCACTATAAAAAAAATCGATTAGCAACTGCCTGAAAAAGTATCATATTCACCCTACTTGATGCCACATACACTATATTACCAAAAGTATTGGGACACCCCTACAAATCATTGTATTCAGGTATTCCAATCACCTCCATGGTCACAGATGTATAAAATCAAGCACCTAGGCATGCAGACTGCTTCTACAAACATTTGTGAAAGAATGGGTCTCTCTCAGGAGCTCAGTGAATTCAAGTGTGGTACCGTGATAGGTTGCCACCTGTGCAAGAAGTCCAATTTCCTTGCTACTAAATATTCCACGGTCAATTGTTAGTGATATTATAACAAAGTGGAAGCAAATGGGAACAACAGCAACTCAGTCATGAAGTGGTAAACCACGTAAAATGACAGAGTGGGGTCAGCGCATACTGAAGCACACAGTGCGCAGAAGTCACCAACTGTCTGCAAAGTCAAAAGCTAAAGACCTCCAAACTTCATGTGGCCTTCAGATTAGCACAACAACAGTACATCAAGAGCTTCATGAAATGGGTTTCCATGGCTGAGCAGCTGCATCCAAGCCTTACATCATGAAGTGCAATGCAAAGCATTGGATGCAGTGGCGTAAAGCGCACCGCCACTGGACTCTAGAGCAATGGAGATGTGTTCTGGAGTGATGAATCATGCTTCTCTGTCTGGAAATCCAATGGATGTGTCTGAGTTTGGCGGTTGCTATGTGAGCAGTACTTGCCTGACTGCATTGTGCCAAGTGTAAAGTTTGGTGTAGGGGGATTATGGTGTAGAGATTATTTTCAGGGGTTGGGCTTGGCCCCTTAGTTCCAGTGAAGCAAGCTCTTAAGGCATCAGCATACCAAGACATTTTGGACAAATTCATGCTCCCAACTTTGTGGGAACAGTTTGGGGATAGCCCCTTCCTTTTCCAACATGACAGCACACCAGTGCACAAAGCTAGGTCCATAAAGACATGGATGAGCGAGTTTGGGGTGGAGGAACTTGGCTGGCCTGCACAGAGTACTGAACTCAACCCGATAGAACATATTTGGGATGAATTAGAGCGGAGACTGCGAGTTAGGCCTTCTCTTCCAACATCAGTGCCTGACCTCACAATTGCGCTTCTGGAAGAATGATTAAAAATTCCCATAGACACACTCCTAAACCTTGTGGACAGCATTCTCAGAAGAGTCAAAGCTGTTATAGCTGAAAAAGGGTGGGCCAACTCAATATTGAACCCTACAGACTAAGACTGAGATGCCATTAAGGTTCATGTGCGTGTAAAGGCAGGCCTCCCAAAACTTTGGCAATATAGTGTATATTCCTTCTACACATACCCAACTCAGTTGCATGAACCTTCCCTCTTTACTTACCCCTCATGTTGCCATGGATCTTCCCTCTATGCTTACCCTCTCAGTGCAATAGATCTTCCCTCTATGCTTACCCTCTCAGTGCCATAGATCTTCCCTCTATGCTTACCTCTCTCAAAGTCATAGATCTTCCCTCTATATGCTTATCTCTCTTGGTAACTATCATTTTTCATCTTTTCATCAAGAGGTAAACCAACTGAAGAATCTGCAGCATTCAACACATTTGTGGGTGAGCTGAATGCCCGGTCGCCGCCTGTACTGGCACTGCATTTGGCAGAACGAAACACCCTTTCCACAGGCCCTTATATTACTACAGAACACAATGGTGAGGTAGGGGCTGGCAGCTGAGCAGGGACCACAGAGGAGGACCAGTAATCAAAGACACTTGGAAGTATCTCACATCTTGAAAATTCTATATGAGACCTGTGCCATTTGAAAAATGTTGTGCTCTTGCCAAAGGTATTAATGGGCCCTCATAGTAAAATTCCAAGAAAGAGATCGCTTTATAAAATAAATAAAGTCCAAGCATCAAAACTTCTGCTAGGTTCCATTTGCAGTCAATGTCCCCATTGGAGAGCCTTAGGACAAGAAGTGATGGGAAATCTCCATTTATTTTATTTTCGGGAAGGGTAAGAACCCCTGTAGGGTTATTTTTATCTGTGCTTTCCTTTCCAATTTCTCTCTATGGTTTTGTCTTTCTGCCACAGAGACAGGATATAAGGTAAACTTTGCCAAATAGGGTCATGAACATCATTAATAATTTCACAGTCTATAAAAAACTGAAAAAAGTTGTTTTTTGATGTAGTGATATTTTAATTCATCCTGTTGGTATAATTACCTGGATGCAATCTTTATATTTAATATACAAAATCACCTGCATGCCAGGAATCAGGCTGATCTCAGAAGTGTGAGCATGGGAAGACAATTAGGCTCTACTGCAGTAATATGGTCATGGTCATTCCACGTTCAATGTTCAGGGTAGGAGAGGGAAGACTGTAGAGGTAGCTGCAGAGATGCAGGCATTAAATGGTCAATTCACCCTCTAGTTATTGGATGTAGGAAACACGTGTGCATAAGAACAAAACTACTAAAATGTTGGTAGGTCACTCATATCTGGCAGAGGGCAGTCCTGGTACACCATAAATATTGAGAAGGTAATTTTTATATCTATTAATGTTTGTACACATACGCTGTGTTTAGTGAAATTCTCAGCTTTGTCTTTACAGAATATCATAAGTGATGAGCCTAGCAGTATATCACAATGCTGCCATGTTGTCTATTCAGGGATATCATTTATGAAGCAAGACGCTAGAGGTTTCTCTGTATAAACATCAATATCATTTCACATAACTCTCAGCTGCCTTTTGATGACAGGATGATAAAACAGCACTAAATTATCCCACAGTTCAGATATGTCAAGCAGTGGTGACACTTGAGTGCTAAAACTGTTATATTAAAATCATATCGTTCTGAACACCTCCCTCCTGCTGCTATTAAGTGGTCCATGTCATGGGAACGCCATCACTGGATTTGACAGTCGGACAGAAGAAGCATGCAGATCGAATTCTATGCCAGTCTCCCTCTGACCTTGATGGCTACACAGTTAATCCCCCCAACCCTATTTTTTTTTACAGCATCTATTCTAGGTCAATAGTATATACCAATCATTTACATTTTCTGATTAAACCTGTCCCATTATAGCTATAAATCTCAGTTTTCACACTTTCTAAAAACTCTGTCTATGTTCCTGACAAGAGAAAGTCAAATATAACAAGATTTTTTTAATCCAGCAATATTTTATGCTTTAAAAGAAATATGAGTATTCTGTACTTATGACCGTATGACTGAAAGGTCTCTTATACCTATACAAACAAATATGGTCTTTTTTATGCAATGGTCATTGGTTTGCTTTACCCATCATTTGTTAATAACTATGCAGCAATTATATATGTATATATATGTATATATATATATATATATATATATATATATATATGTGTGTGTACAGTATATACTCTGCATGGAAAAAATTATGTAAGCTCTAAGCTGCTCCAAGATAAAAATTGCAGGGACCTACAGCATTCAGAAGGTTAATATTCCTGCTTAGCACACAGAAAACTCGCTTTTATACAAATCTTCACCTTGGCCTGCCTAGTCAATAGCCTTGGCCTATACCTCCATATCTCTGTCTCCAATGTCACTGATGACTTCACTGGCCAATAGTGACACTTAGGCTACGTTCACACTAGCGTTGTGTGCAGGCGGCAGAGAGGCGTTTGGGAAGCGTTTTTACCACTTCCCAAACGCCTCGGACAATTCTGCACATTGCAGCACATAGTGCTGTTCTAACAGGAGCGTTAGCATCGCGTCACAGCAAAATGGATGCCTCTGGTTGAGTCAGGAGGCGTTGAAGCCTCCTATTCTAGTCTATGGTGCCGCTCCGCAAATCCCTGGCCGGCGTTTGCGGTGCGGTTGCGGGGCGTTTGCGGTGCGGTAACACCATTTAAACTTCATTATAGGTGTTTGTGGAGCATTTTTAACGCTCGGCAAATTTGCATGCGGCGTTTGCAGAGCATTTGCCGAGCATTAAAAAAGCTCCGCAAACGCCGGACCAACGCTTGCCAAACACTATAGGGGCGTTTGGCAAGCGTTGGTAAAGCAGTCAAGTGTGAACGAACCCTTAGGGAGAAGAGAGGGGGCTGTAAGCCAATATTTGCACACTAGCACACCCAAGGATTCAGGGAACCTGGAGTATTTTTATGACAGAACATGCTTACATGCAGGCAACATAACAGGTTTAAAGTGGTTTTAAGACCTCAGACATAGTTACATAGTTAGTCTGGCTCAAAAAAGACAAACGTCCATCCAGTTAAACCATTAAAAAAAAAAAAAGTTATAATCCTATACCCCTATATCCAGAGGAAGGCAAAAAAAACCCAGCAAAGCATGATCCAATTTGCTCCTGCAGGGGAAAAAAATCCTTCCTGATCCCCTGAGAGGCAATCAGATATTCCCAGGATCAACTTTACCTATAAATGTTAGTATCCAGTTATATTCTGTGTATCTAAGAAAGAATCCAGGCCTTTCTTAAAGCAATCCTCTGAGCTGGCCAGAACCACCTCTTGAGGGAGTCTATTCCACATTTTCACAACTCTCACTGTGAAGAAACCTTTCCGTGTTTGGAAATTAAATTTCTTTTCCTCCAAACATGAAATATGAACAAAGCATATCCCTCTAGATAGCGTACTTGTCTCAATCCAGAGCACCAAGCATCATTTCTGTCTGCTACCCCATTCCTCTGCTATCAGCATGAGTCACTTCTGACATGTTTTCCTGACACAAGGTGAAAAATGGTGACGGGGAGGGACCTCTAGCAGATTGACAGCCTCAGCTCTGCTCCTGTGAGTGTGTGAAGGGGGGGTGTCTCTTCCCTTCCATCAGCACCCTTTTTTCTGAAGACAAGCTTTATAAATTCTACACTTTCAATGACTGTAAAGAAGAGATGACTGCAGATAAAGAAATGCAACTCATGTAGGGGAATGTGTTTCATCTCTGTGTATCACCTGAGGCCAGCCACTTCACTGGGTATATAGAAAGATTTACAACTACTTTAAGGCACCTGTTATGCATTGTCAGTTATAGGCTCATTTTAAGGAATACAGTAATCATAAGCCTGTTTGGCCACTTCAGATCTGGAAGATTTACCCCCCTCCCTGACCAGGTAAATTTTTGCAATACGGCGCTGCGTTACTGCAGCTGACAATTGCATGGTCATGCAACACTGTACCCAAATTAATTTTATGTCCCTTTTTCCCCACAAGTAGAGCTTTTTTTTTGGTGGTATTTGCGTTATAAACAAAAAAAGACCAAAAATTTTGAAAAAAAATGCAATATTTTTTATTTTCTACTACAAAAAACATATCCAATAAAAAAAATTAAAAGGTAATTTCTTCATAAATTGAGGCCAAAATGTAAAATGATTACTTTGCGCAAAAGTTATAGCGTCTGCAAACTATGGGACATATACTGGAATTTGTTTTTATTTTTTTTAAACTAGTGGGACTTATAGAGGAACTGCGACCTATAGTGGGACTGCGATATTGCAATAGACATTTTTACACTAACTGACACTTTGTGGGAACCAGTGACACTAATGCAGTAATCAGTGCTAAAAATATACATTCATTACTGTACTAATGACACTGGTTGGGAAGGGGTTAATATCTAGGGTGATCCAAGGGTTAAGTGTGTGCCTAGCTATGTGCCTGGTGTACACTACATGGCACTGGTACAAGGGGAAGTGATGGATTGTGTTCCCAGCTCTGCTTTGCCACACAATCTTTCACTTTCCATTGTACAACAGAACTAGGCATAGCTCTGTTCTTCCTTCCTGCCCGAGGATCTGTGGGTGGTGGTGAAGATCCATTCACATGGACTTGCAGATTGGCTTCTGCTGTTTCACAGCAGAAGCGATCCACCGGCAGCGTGTGCGTGCCCCCCAAACAGGCATAAGTGCAAAATCACGTATATATGTGATTTTGCACAGGAGATCTGCCCTGTAGCAGTAATACTTATATAGGGTGGAGGTACAGTGGTTAAAGATTTAGGAAAAAAACAGAGTTACTGACTACAATAAATAATATTTTCTTCCATTATTCTCTGAGAAAATACATCTAGGATTTAGGTGATCATTTGATTGCCTTTCCCTTTTTATTGTTTCAGTTTTCTTTAGTTTTATGTTTTTAAGATAACATTTTTTTTTAAAACAACTTGTGCAGTACAGAAGGGAAATGTATCTATACATCTTTTAATATATTCATTTTGTATTTAATGACTCAAGAGTATGTGTTTATATGAGAGTGACAGTTTTAATCTAATTCAATTAAGTGAAAAGCAATGTATTTTTTTTTTTTCACTGCTGCCCTGAAAGGGGGTTTTCTTTTGGAATAACAAAAGAACAAAAGAACTATGTCTAAAACGTACAAAAGCACAAAAAATTAAAAACTCTGAATGCAAGCTTGCAGTCAGGATTTCAAGCCTCCTTTGTGATCCAAGCTATATGCATCTGAAGTACGTAGGGACTGCAGTTCCCATCATCCTTGACAGGCAGTGCCTTATGTATTGGTTGAAATATGCACACAGCCTGTACAGACTTCCATTGTGGAAGAGTCAGCTGCAGGCAACACCATCAGTGTGCACAATTGTACAGGATCAACATGTACAGGGGAATAGAGATGCATGCAGGGAGATTATATGGTAGAAACACACACACTGATCCATAGGTCTGCTCAAGACTGGCCTCTCTTGTACATGGACAACCTGGGTGCTGCCCATTATAGTCTGTCTCCACTCTCCATTAAAATTATGAAAGAATGTCAGCCGCAGTCCACTTAGCTCCAGTATTTGTAATAATCAACAAATTAATTAATTGACAGCATATAGTGATGTCTCCACCCAAAATCCAACCTTTCTTGATGCCTTCCACCACTGCTGGTTTGCTCTCAATGATAGGGGAAGTCAAGGAGGGAAGGAGGAAGAATTTAAAATGTTTACATTTAAATGTTTAAATTCCTCCTCCTCCTTCCCACCTTGACTTTTCCAGTCCTTGTGAGCAAACCAAAAAGTTGGTGTTTGGGTGAAGACATTACTGTATGCAGTCAATCCATTTATTAGTACAAATACTGTAAGAGGAGCCAAGTGGAGTGGTGCTTATATGACTGCCGAACACCATTTTTCATCCACTTAAAGTAGAATTTCAGGCTAGATCAAGCTTAAAACTGCTCCCAACTCACCTCCCTTTTAACTCCTATTTTAACTACCCTGTAGCAGAATGATGCATATCCTTACCTATTCTCAGGGAAGTTGTGGAGAGAGGAGGGAGTGCAGACAATGGCTGGAATGCCTGGGTGATGACGTCACCCATTGGCTTACTATGGGGTATATGTTGCCGGTTGTCCTTCCTCTCCCCTAAAGCTGGACACTGGGAGACTAGCACATGACCAGACCAGAGCGTCTTGAGAATAGGCAAGTACAAGCATCTTCCTTCTACAGGGTAGTTAGAAGAGGAGCTGTTTTTAGCTTAGTTAGATCTAGCCTGAAATTCTACTTTGAAGTACATGTAAACCCTACATTTGGTCCCCTTTGCTCTGCTAAATATATATTTTAACCACTTGCCTACCAGGCACTTATACCCCCTTCCTTACCAGGCCAATTTTCAGCTTTCAGCGCTGCCGCACTTTGATTGACAATTGTGCGGTTATGCAACATTGTACCCATATGAAATTTTGATCATTTTTTTCTCACAAATAGAGCTTTCTTTTGGTGTTATTTAATCGCCACTGGGCGCTTTACTTTTTGCGCTATAAATTAAAAAAAAGTTTGCAAAAAATTTGAAAAAAAAAAAAAAGTTTCTTTGTTTCTATTATAAAATTTTTCAAACAGGTATTTTTTCTCCTTCACTGATGTGTTTTGATGAGGCAGCACTGATGGCCACTGATAGGCGGCATTGATGGGCACTGATAGGCAGCACTAAAGGGCACTGATAGGCAGTACTAATGAGGTGGCACGGATAGGCGGCACTGATAGGCAGCACTAATGAGGTGTCACGGATAGGCGGCACTAATATGCAGCACTGATAGGCGGCACTGATAGGTGACACTGATGATGGGTACTGATAGACGGCACTGACTGGCATCACTGCTGGGCACTGACTGGCGGCACTGACTGGCACAACCACTGGGCACTGACTGGTGGCACTGACTGGCAGCACTGCTGGGCTGCACTGGTGGGTGGCACTGGTGGGCAGCACTGGTGGGTGGGCACAGGTGGGTGGCACTGGTGGGCACAGGTGGGTGGCACTGGTGGGCACAGGTGGGTGGGCACAGGTGGGTGGCACTGCTGGGCACAGGTAGGTGGCACTTCTGGGCACAGGTGTGTGACACTGCAGAGTGGCACAGGTGGGTGCACTGCTGGGCACAGGTGGGTGCACTGCTGGGCACAGGTGGGTGGAGCTAGTGGGCGCACTGCTGGGCACAGGTGGGCGGAACTTGTGGGTGGCACTGCTGGGCACCGATCATCAGGGCACTGATCATCAGTGGCCCTGATGATCGGTGCCGATCCTCGCTCTGACAACTGCCGGTTCTCGGCAGTACTTTCCTCACGATCTGACAGCATGAGGAATGAGGAAAGTGCAGCCGAGAACCGGCACTTGCATTTCCCTGTGATCAGCGTGTCATTGGACACCGCTGATCACGTGGTAAAAGGCCGGTATGATCGGCTTTTTACCACATCTCGTGATCAGCTGTGTCCGTAGGACACAGCGATCATGGAGATCGCCGGGTGCACGCCCCCTGGGGCGCGCAGGAGAGCGCGTTCTGGGGGGACGTCATATGACGTCCACCCAGAACTGGCCGGACGCAGTGAAGCCCTCATTCGGCTATCTGCGGTCGGCAACTAGTTAATATATCTATAAGACATGTGCAGTTTGTTTCGTTCCAAATTTCCAGATTACAATAGTAATGCATTTCTGATCAGAAATAATGAAACTAAATTTTATCTGAAATGCAAATCAATTTTGAAAAAGAAATCGAATTAGAAAACAAATTGGAAATATAAACATATTGCTGGCTATTTCTCATTTCCTTCAAAGACTATGGGGTAGATTTACAAAAAATGGTTCATTCAGAAACTGATGTACCTGTGCATGATAGCCAATCAGCTTCTAACCTCATCATGTTCAATCAAACTTTGGCAATACAACCTGGAAGCTAATTAGTTTCTATGCAGAAGTGCCCATAATTTTGCATTCTCTAGCTTTAGTAATAAACCCCTATGTGTATTAGTGTTAGAATATTGCCATCTTCTGAAATTACACTTTTAAAAGAATAGAATAGAATAAAACAAAATAGAAAATAATATAAATGAAAAGAATAGAAAAGAAAAGAATAGAAAATAAAGGAATAGAATAGAAAAAAATATAAAATATTTGAACAGAATAGAATAGAATATAGCCATCTTCTGAAATTACAATTTTGAAAAGAATAGAAAAAAACAAAATAGAAAAGAATATAAATGAACAGAATAGAAAAGAAAATAATAGAAGAGAAAGGAATGGAATAGAATAGTATAGAACAGAAAAATATAAAAGATCTGAACAGAATAGAATAGAATAAAATAGAATATAGCCATCTAATTCTAATTTTAAAAAGAATAGAATAAAGCAGAATAAAACAGAGTAAAACAGAACAAAATAGAACAGAAAATAATAGACTAAAATAGAATAGAAAATAATAAAGGAATAGAATAGAAAAGCATAGAAAATGAAAGAACAGAATTGAAAAGAAAAGAATAGAAAAAAGAAGAGAATAGAAAAGAATAAAATATAATAGAAAAGAATAGAATATATTAGAATAGAATAGAATAGAATGAATGTAACCATCATCCAAAATGTGAATTTCTAATAGAATAGAACTAGCTATTCTTCACAATGAATATGCATCAATTCAATATTTTTGATTCGAATACTTCAAATCTATTGGAAACATTTGAATCCTGTCAAAAATGAAAAAAACAAAACAAAATTAAACTAAACAAGTTTTGTTGCAAATGCAATGAAACAAAATTAGTAACTTAACTAATTGATCCAAAACAACACAAATGTTTTCGTTCTGCACATGTCTACTATTTATTCAATAAGGGATACCCGTTAACCGTGGCAAAAATCTAAATTTTTGTTCTTGAGTATAGGCATGCTTTAAATGCACTTATTCCTTCACAGAATAGAAAAGAAAATAATAGAATAAAATAGAATAGAAAAGCATAGAAAATAAAAGAATAGAATTGAAAAGAAAAGAATAGAAAAAAGAAGAGACTAGAAAAGAATCAAATAGAATATAAAAGCATAGAATAGATTAGAATAGAATAGAATGAAATCAAATAGAATATAACCATCTTCCGAAATTCGAATTTCGAACAGAATAGAACTAGCTATTCTTCGCAATGAATATGGATCAATTCAATATTTTCGATTCGAAAACTTAAAATCTCTTGGAAAAATTCGAAAACGAAAAAAACAAAACAAAATTAAACTAAATGAGTTTTGAAACAAAATGAGTAACTTAACTAATCGATACAAATAAACTCCCACGGCTTCAATTACCATCTCTATGCTGATAACACACAAATCTATCTGTCTACCCCTCACCTCACCCCTTCAGTTTCCACCCACATCGCTAGCCTACTAAGTGACATTTCGGCTTGGATGTCACTCCACTTCCTCAAACTCAATCTTTCCAAAACTGAGTTCCTAGTATTCCCCCCATCCTGTGCCCCCTCCCCTGACTTCACCATAAATACCGATAACACAATCATCAGCCCATCCCCTCATGCCAGGCTACTAGGTGTAATCCTAAACTCCCATCTGTCCTTCCAGCTCCAGATCCAATCGCTGACAAAATCATGTAGACTTCACCTCCGCAACATCTCCAAGATACGACCGTTCCTAACCCCGGAAACCACTAAGCAACGTATTCACTCCCTTGTCACATCACGCCTTGACTATTGTAACTCCCTCCTCCTTGGCCGACCTCATCGCAGGCTATCCCCTCTTCAGTCTATCATGAATGCTGCTGCCAGACTCATCCACCTCACTAACCGTTCTGTATCTGCCACTGCTCTCTGCCAATCCCTCCACTGGCTCCCAGTTGCCCAACGGACAAAATTCAAAACTCTGACAATGACATATAAAGCCATCCACAACACTGCCCCAATTTACATAACCGATCTTATCTCTAAATATCACCAAAACCGTCCTCTCCGCTCCTCGCAAGACCTCTTACTCTCTAGCTCCCTTATCTCCTCCTCCCATGCTCATCTCCAAGACTTCTCCAGGGCGTCACCCATCCTCTGGAACTCCCTACCCCAATCTATCAGACTATCATCTACTCTACTTGCCTTTCGGCGATCATTGAAAACCTTTTTCTTCAGGGAAGCCTATCCTGCCCTCTGTTAATTCTGGAATCCTCTACTCTTACGACCACTCCATCCCCCACAGTGACTACCTACTGTACCACTCACCCCGTCCTCCTAGATTGTAAGCTCCAAGCAGCAGGGCCCTCAAATCCCTCTTGTATTGATCTGTATTGTTACCATATTGTCTCCCACTATAATGAAAAGCGCTGAGCAAACCGTTGGCGCTATATAAATCCTGTAATAATAATAATAATAATAATAATAATAAAACAAAACAAATGTTTTTCGTTCTGCACATGTCTACTATCTATCGCTTCTCGGCCTTTTGGCTAAGATCAAGTGTAGTATCTGTTCTTATCAGTGTCCAGTGGGGGTGCTCCCGGCCATTCTAGCTTTGCGGGGATGGCTGTTGTATAGTACCCTCACTGGTATGATGGGGGTCCGGAAGGCTAGTACCGGAGGGACAGAAACCGGGGAGCACCACGAGTTATGCTGGGGCCCTGGGAGTAATTCCTCCGAGAAGACTGGAAAGACCCAGTACCTCCTGATTTGGATGGATCTACCTTGGTCTGGCCAGGGGCTGAGGAGGCAGAAAGTCCGCAAACACGGTGCCCCCTGAGTAGTCGCCTCAGGGGTGCCCTGAGTAGCACTTGGGTGTGGGACCCCACGTTGTGAATGAGCACATGGTCACCGCGTTTAAAACACTTTTTGCACTGCGCCTCTAGGACCGGGCCTTTTGGCCAAGTCCTGGGCAATTTTTTTGCTACAGGCCTCAGGGTCTGGTCAGTGCACAATTTGGGCACGACATTTTTTTAGTATTTTTATAGATTTATTTAATTTAATTTTTTTTTTTTTCTCACCCCACGTTTGTCACTTTTACTTATGTGTGTGTTTTTCTCACAGGATGGAGGGGTGTGGGTCCTGGGCCTGCCCTGAAGTCTGGGGGGAGGATGTGTGGCCTTTTGGTTCCTTCCTCCCCTGTCCCTGGGGGGTTTTCTCTTCGGGAGAGCCCCCCGACCAAGTACTGGATGTCCGGCTTTGGCTGGACATAAGGAAAGGTGGTCCACCAGGCCTTTTGGCCAGGAGGACCAAACGGGAACCTTGTCCCTGTCAGGAGCTTCGTGCCCCGGGGGATCAGGGTAGTGGTCCAACCCCTTCGGGGGTAGGACAAAGAACACCCCTAAGTGCACTTTTTGTGTGGTGTTTTTGCACTTGCACTTTTTTGTGAAACCTTACGGGTTTTTCGTTCTAGTTTGCACGTTTGCGGACTTATGTCTACTTCATTTGTACCCATTAAAGTAGACAATTTTGTCTTGAGTTTAGGTATGCCTTAATTGCACTTATTCCTTCATTTGTCTAAGAAGAAATTTGTCTTTCTACTAACTTGGAAGGAATGTAACAAGGAAAGAAATGAAGCAAATGATGACTCGGTTATGGGATTAATAGTATTTTGTCTTATTTTGAGCTCTCCTTTAAGCAGACCAAGATGTGAAACAGCATTATCAGAGATACTAATCACCTGTGCTAAGTGATGTCGATGTAAAGATCGACAGAGTGAAGTCAGCAAAGGGTGGGTGTTTAGCGAGACGACTTAGCCAAGCAGCAGCGTTCAGCACTAATCTCCAGCACAGTTGTCAGATGTCAATAGGGCACAATAAGCCATGGACCGCAAATACACTTCAGGCCAGCATGCAAGGTTTATTAAAAACACTCTCGCAACAGGATGCAGTTTCAATTCCTGAACAGAGAGACAAGAGATGTCCACAGGCCTCCCTCCCTTTCTGTGACTCATCAATTTTTCATGGATTTTACTTCTAAAGACAGAATGATCTAATGGCTTAATGCCGTAACTTTTCTTTAGTTATGATGTAGATGTAAATTCTTATAAAAGAACACCATTTAAATGGATCTCCACTGGATTCCAAACACGTGGCTAACAATCAATAACCTACCAGAGGGAGACATAGGCCATGCATTGAAATGAGTTGAAGGCAGTTGTTTAATTGGCCCCATTATCATTTTCTGTAGTTGTTCTGCCTGTCAGAGTCCAGAAATACTGCAGACAACTGTGGATATTTTATTTTTGCATTACTTGCAGTTATCAGATTGCAGATCTTAAGGGGAAATGATGTTTCTGTTCACACTTTGTGTTGTAAAAATGCATGATTCACATAAATATATAATGATGCAGCGCTAATTATAACGAAACATACATGGGTGACATAGAGTGTATAAACACATAGA